ATGATGCACTAGAGCAGGCCCCCCCCGATGAAGCCACCAGCCGACATTGGCTGGCAGATGGAATCCGGAGGAGACCTAATCTGTGCGATCTAATTGGTCTGAGAGAGGTAATCGGCAGGAGGCGGTCTCTCAGGTACCCAGTAGATATTATTAAGGCTGACATATTTACTTAAGATTATGTTTTAAAACAAGAATCAGCTACCACTTTGGAGTGCAGGCATGTATGATTTCGCCCAATATCACATGTTCTTCACAAAATCAAAAAAGTTTCAAAAGTCAGATATTTTGCCTATTATAGAATATTTCAGAAATGTTGGTGGTTTAATTTAATTTTTTCTTTTTAAACATCCTTTTTAATGGGTTTTTTAAAAAACCAGGATGACCAAGATTGATGGTTTGGTTTACAAATTATAATGATTCATGTATGTGTATGCAAATATAAAGTTAAGGAACAAACATGAAAACAGGGTATTCTGAAAATATGTGGATGAATGGCAAGGAAGAACTGACTCCATACTCATATTTGAAAAACTAGGACTATAACTACTGAGCAAGCTCAATAGTGAACAAAGTCTTGGGAGAAAACTGCAAAACTGTGGTGAAGGAAAAAAAATAGAAGACTGATTGCATTCATAATATTAAAAGCAATTAGATAAATATGTAGCACATTAATCATACATAAACATACAAAAATAACCAGACTTTAAATTTGACTTAGTCTTTGGGACTGAGTCTTCCAAAGGATGTGGGGTCAATACATTTTAATTTGGGGGTTTATTTTAAGGGTGGAAATAGAAGCTTTAGGTTTTGCAGAGGCTTAAAGCTGATGCGGAATCTGTTAAATTTCCCTATGTCTACAGTAACAGATGATAACTTCAAAACATTCAACCCATATCAACAGGACAAAAAAGAAAATGCAGTTTCCACTTGTGATATAAAACTTGGATGTCTTATAGAAAGCATTAGATTTGCTTTGTCATGCCATATTCACCAGGGGGCAGACTTCATCCAATACTGAATAATGTACGGAAATTCTCTTAGGAATTTTGATCTAGACACCAACAGAAAGCCAAACTTAAAGCTGAGAGATTCAGGGAAAAACTGTAATTTGTATACATTTGACTTTTTGCATTTGAGCAAGAAGCTTAATTTTTTTTTTTAAATGCAGACGTTTCTATTATCACTTCACAATAAAATGTAGGTGGTAACACGAATAAAGTAATTAAATTCCATTCAATGAATAAATAAATATATCTATTCTATGGAATCCCCACAATTAAGCATTTGAGGTACATCCGATCAGAAAAATAGAAAGGGATGGAAAAATGATAATTTATTTCATTTTATAAGAGTTTACAAAAATCTGTGAATGTGATAATTCTGTTCTTAGATGAACAGCTTGACTTGTTTTCAAACCCAATTTAATAACATGTTTTTATGAACTCAAGACCAGAATCATATACCTACGAGAAATTGAAAATTAACACTAAATATTTACCAAGTTTTGGATGCAATGGTTTTGAATCTGAGCCAGGTGATATTTATTGTTTTGATCATTTTGGAAGTATTTCAGTTTCAAAATAACCCTACTGAATTAAAAATGCTATATTCGGAATTCAAAACCCCTCTAAAATAAAGAAAGCAACTTTTTACATGAAAAATAGGATTAATTCACCATTATATACAAGTCTCTTCAATGGCTTGGTTCACACTGCATATAAACATTTGTTTTGTTTGCATTTTGTTTTGTTTCAGGAGTACCTTGAGAGCAAATGAGTAGGCTTTTTCGCCTACATTAATGGACTTTGGATCATCATCATCCAGGTTTTCCCAAAATCTTACATCTCCATCACTGCCACAAGTTACAATACAACTAAAGAAACAAAATAAAAATACAGGGATACAGTAACAATATGCATAACTATTTCATACACACACATTCAGATCTCATTAAAATCTATTGTAACAAAAGATACATTATCCAAAGGTATTTTTTTCTTTAAATAATCTTTAAAGAATAAATAATGATACAAGCAAAGATGCTGGTCTCAAGCAATGGCATTTATAGGATTGATGTTTCCTAAGTAATTCCCCAGGTTAATTAATCTCAGGTATACATATACATATTAAACTCCTACTGTTTTCCTTGCTTTTGTCTTCCTGTCTTAAGGGAATCTGATCAATCTGATTTCTAAACCAGTTTGTGACTTACCACAATGTGCAAACCTAGCTATGGTAATTATATATATGCAAACCCACAATGATTCATTTAAGGATGACAACGTGGAGTACTGGAATCACATCCCTAAGCAGCGTGATCATACGATGCCACACTTTACAACCATATTGCTTAGTGACAGCAATTAGGGTCCCAGATGTCATTGCTAAAAACATATATATATATATACATACAATACATACATACATACATACATACATACATACATACATACATATATAATTATTTTGGTTATTTATTTTAATTAGTATATTGAATAATAATTTTGGCATGGCTTACATGGTGGGGTGGGAGGGTGTTCAAATCTAATCACTTTGAAAAGAGACTAATAAACTTTATAATGTGTTGTCATGATTCCAACACTAGTTTCTCTTAATTCCTTTGCTGCTTATTATTCGGTCAGAAACACATTTCAAAAATATTTGTATATTTCTGAATTAAATCACTAGATAAGCATAGATAAGTTTCAATCACTCACCTTCCAGTGTCATTGAAACAGACATCTGTCTGGCCTTCCGTATGTCCATATCTCATTGGTTTTTGTGAGGACATTTTCTCCTTCAATAAAAACTCTGAGTCTAGCAGCAATAGAACACAAATAAATAAATAAAAATAAATGAAATAAAATAACTGCAAAATACGATGCAGGCCTCTCCTAGCGAAGAATGATCTATAGGATCCTTTTTTAGATTAGTTTAGTTTACTTTATTGTCACTGGACATGGGACAATGAAATTAAATGCTGTCTTCAGTGTACATTACTATAAAAATAAAAAAACCAGATTCTTTACTTTCTATATAATTGAAATTGAAAACCCGATATTGCACTATACCATAGAATTTAAAATGGATTCTGCCCTGGGATAGCAGCTGTTTTTCAGCCTATTTGTCCTTGTTTTTATTGTCCTGTACTGTCTGCCGGATGGTAATAGTTTAAAAAAAAGGTGCCCAGGATGAGATGGATCTTTAAGAATGTTTTGAACTTTCCTAAGGCAGCGGGAGCTATAAAGCTCTTCCAAAGAGGGGAGAGAGCAACCAATGATCCTCTGGGCAATGACGTTGACCCTCTGGAGTGCTGTCCTATCTGCCACTGTGCAATTGGCAAACCCTACACAGATGCAGTAAGTTAAAATACTTCCTATGGTGCAGCAGTAGAAGATCACCAGGAGTTTTTCATTCAGTTCTTGTTTCCTGAGAAGTCTCAGGTGGTATAATCTCTGCTGGGCCCTTTTGACTAGTGCTGCAATGTGAGTGCCACAGGTCAGGTCCTCTTTTATGATAACACCCAGAAACTTAAAACTGGCCACTTGCTCCGCTTGGTCTCCACTGATGAGCAAGGGCTGGATGTCTGATCTATTCCTCCTACAGTCCACTATAAGCTTCTTTTACTGATGGGGGTCATGCAATCCAGAATTGTATCAATTATACGATCATTAGGGTTGCAATTTCAGGATCAGCAATCCTAAAGGTTATATTTTATTTCAAACTTTTTCAACCAGATGCCCTTCCAAGTGCACTTCATGACCTCTCTCAAGCCATGCTGGATTAGGATGATGGGACATGTCGTCCAATGCACCAAGAGAGGGAAAGGCTGCCCACAGCTAATAGAACACGCTTTATTCCCTTCCCCGTTGAGGTCACCCGAGAAACGGCGGGAGGACCATCCCTCACCGGGTCTTAAGGACGCGCGTGGGAATAGGTACCGGGTGCGGAGGGAGGACGCTCGTTCCCCAAGCACAGCCCCAAAGAGCGGCTCACAGCAGCCCCTCACCGGCAAAGCTATGCCACCCCGCCGCCCTCACTCACCCGCCGTCCTTCGAGCTTTCCCGCGCTTCGCTTCCGAGTGACGTCATCAGCGCCAGAGCCAGGGCTGTGCTTTTTCTTGGCCTTCTCATTGGGCTGTTGCGCTTTCCGTCCCACGCTCGGTCCCGCCTCCAGCTCCATCTCCCCACCCCGGGAAGCCGGCTGGATCCTGTCAGGGAGGCCGCGTGGGGATGGGGGTGGCTGGGCTGCGTCTGCGCCTTCATAACCGCCTGGAAGGCGGAGAGGAAAAGCTGCGCCTCTGGGCAGCGCGGCTGAAGGACGGACTGACGGCGGCAAGGGTGGGGTTAAAAGGAGGGCGGTCAAGTCGCCGGCGTCCTTCTTTAGCCCCCTTCTTCCTGGAAATCGTAGGGGTTGGTGCTCCGTTCCCTCTGCCGCCCTCCTTCTCCTTCCCTGTCCTGTCCCGTTGTTTTAAAGCTTCTTTTGGGACACAGATTTTAGGGGGTGGGTGGGAGAGAGAGAGAGAAAACACGCTCCTGTTTTGCAAGAACAGCAGCTTTCTTGGCCATGGTCCTCTTTTCCCTTTTACTGTCCGTCCCCCCGTCTCCATATATCGAGACTTCTGCAGCTTTTCCAGACCTTCTTCCCCGTCCCACCCCCAGCCTTCTTTCCTTTGCAGTTTAATTGCAACCATATGTAAACTAACTAGAAATAACTTTCCATGTATCCTAAAGGGATTCCCTCCCAAAAGAATGGATTTCCAATGGCAGCTATTGCTTCTCTTTCTTAACTTCCCTCCACCTTCAGCCACTTTTTCCTAGCATACTTTGCTTTTCAGTTTCCTCTATTTCTTTATTTTCTCAACCTTCCTCCTCCAATTTGCTTTCTTTCCCTCCCTGCCTCCCTCCCTCTCCCCCCTCTCATACACCCACACCCACACACCAACAGAAGATTTGAAGATCCTCCCCTTCAGTTCAGACATCTTCCCTTCTCTCCTCCTTTCTCATCCTTGGACCCCCTTAGCCCCAATCCTTCCTCCTCCAGCTGTGCAGTTGCTCCGTCATCCTTTGTGTCTGATGGCGAGTCGTGGTGCCTGTCAGTGCCACGATATTTGGACGAGGTTTCTCTTTCTTCCCTGCTTTTTGGCATCCCTTCAAAATGTTTCTTGGGTGAGCAGCAGGTGAGCATGTACATCCATGGGGAAAGAAGGCGGGGTGGGAGATGGAAAGAACTGGCATCTGTTCGTTCTGACAAAGTTATCCCTCTCCAGTAAACTCAACTTTTATTAGGGACCACGATGTTGGTGAAATGTTTCTTTAAAAATCCTGGGGAGAAAAACTGAATTTGAGATAGATATCCATTGTTGGTGGCTGGCGGAAAAGGAGCAAACAGAAAATTAATTTCAGTGTTAATTTCATAGCCAGGGCCATCATTTCAGCAGCATAATTTAAAAAAAAAACAGTTAAAGGAAACTGTTTTTTCCCTTTAAAAAATAAAATTTTATGCTAAAATAAAGTTGTTTTAAAAGTTTCTTTTAAAATTCTGGAGGGGCATATTATAAAATGTTCATAACCTGTGGCAAACAGCTAGGTTGCTGATTGACGTGCAAGATTTCATGGAAAATATTTACTGTGTTTAGTTCGGCATTTGCATCATGGTGATTCCACCACCTTCTAAGTTTAACCAAGGAATGGTAGGTCTTAAGGTTAGAAGATGTCATCTTTAGAACAAGCACCTGTTTTGTTTTAAAGAGCTTTGACTTGCCTACTTGTAGTTCTAAAAAGTTAGAAATTTATTTCTCTTCATCATCTGACAATTTTCTCAATATGTTTTTAAAGTTACATGGAAATGTCAGTTAGACCAGTGTTTTTCAACCTTTTTTGTGCAAAGGCACACTTTTTTCATGAAAAAAATCACGAGGCACACCACCATTAGAAAATGTTAAAAANTTTGGTCTCATGCTGTGCTTTGTTAATCAGGCAGATCATTTTGTGGATACATAGAGAAAATTATTTTTTTAAAAGGTCAGTGCCTATTTTCTTCCTAGAAAAACAGGTATTATTTTAACTGGTTTTAATTAGAAATGTTCTAATCATTTAATCACCAAATAGCTAATCAAATATTTTGGTACAATGTCATGTTCTTACATGCATTAAATCATGACATTATACCAAAATATCTGAACATAATTAACTCTTGGTTTGTTTTAGAAAATGTTCTGAATGCTCTTTGCATTTTCTCTGCCATTTAATATATATTTAGAATATCTGGGGCTTTAGGAGAATTGTGAGAAATGACTTTTGAGGATCTTAATCCTTTTTGAATTAAGCTGAGAATATTTCTCTAAGTGGAACCATTCTAGGAGGCCTGAGAGCAGTTAAAGTAGACAATTTCCTGTCAGCCTGTTCTCTTTATGCATTCCACTCTTATTGGAGGGTTTTCAGGGGGGGCGTTTGGACACTGTTCTGCTGTTTGATTTTGCAAGTCCTTTAGCTTGACAAAACTGTCTCTTCTCTCATCTCAGTTGCCTCATGGATTTTCAGGACCAAACATCAAGATAATTTACTGATGTTAGCTCCCACTGGAGCTAAACTGATCCCAACCTTATTGGGAAGTTCTTCTCGTAAAAACTTCTGCTATATACATGATCTTACCCAGCTCTCATTCATTTAGGAAAGGTTGAAATATGAGACATTCATAATTACCGGTAATTGTGTTCCTTATCAACAAGCTGTTTTTGATTTTTCTTCTCTGAATGCAAAATGTATTTGGCAAGTCCAATCCAATATATTATTCCTTATACCTAACATACGTGAATATTCAAGATAAAATCATTTGGGCAGCTTTTATTTTGAAGAAAAAAACATTTGGTAATAAGTGTTAACAACTTATGAGAGGGAGTAAACTCTGAAGTGATATAATATCCTCTTTTTCTTATGTAAAGTTCCCTGCAGAATGGCTAACTGTAGTATTTTTCAAGTGAATAATAATATCCTTTCATTTTCAGTCAATATATTTGTAAAATGATGCAGAAATGCTTTATGTGGTCCAGATAATATGCGAAAAGCCATTATGAGAAAAGCCATTACGCAACTTCTGTTCTAGTCAAAATTTGGTATCAAAAAAGAGATTATGTGCACTTGAAAAGAATTAGGACATGGCTTCTAGCAATATTCTGTCTTCCTGATTTGATGTAGGAAAAGATCAGTCAAATATCTTGTGTGTTCTCCCTTCAGGATAAAATCTATATCAAGCTTTAAGTGAAGTTAAAGTGAATGCATCAATTTCCATACTCTCTTTCAGATTAGATATGACATTATAGTCAGAGGCAATCATGTGTCGAGGAACAATGGCTAAAACTCTTCAGTGATTTTCATGCTATGATGACTCTTCTTGTAGCCAAAAATCATATGACTCAAAAGAATTCTTTGCTCTATTGTTTCTGTGAGAGCTAGCTTCACATTTAAATGTTTTTCAAGTGCAGTTACAAATGGAAGACACAAACCTCCTTTTTACTGAGATGACCTGTATCACCTCTGCTAATTTTCTGTTAAAATAAAGCAGATGCCATATCTTGACTTACCAAATGGCTCATTCCATTAATACTGCCCTCCAGGTGAAAATATATTTAATAACTAGACTGCCATTTACTTTAATTTGTTTTGTTGACATTAGCTGATATGAAGTTATGTGTATTTAGTTTAAATACATGTCTATATGTTATAAAGCGGAGAGGGTGACACTGATGATAAGGAGAAGAAGAATGAAATACAGATTTTAGTAAATTTATATGAATAAAATTTATGTGAAGGCTTCTTTTTAATTGGATTTGTGTTGTTTTTTTGTCATCAGATTATCAAAATGTAATTGGCCTTTATGTTGATAAAGTTATAGACCCAATTTGTGCTAATAGTATTTTGTAGTCACATGCATAAGATTGTTTAACTCTGTATTGTAGATTTAGGTATTGCTTTAAATCTATCATTAAGTTCAGCCTGGTGCTTGTTAATGTAACATTTAATCAAAATTCCTTTTGTCTTGCTCAATCACTGACTGAGTGATCATATATAAACCCTAAAGGGATAAATAGGGAATCTCTGGGTGACAATATTATGATTGGTAAAGACATAAAATGATAATAGATTAATTAAACAGAGGGTAGGAGTGACAGCTTTGTTCTTTTATCATCTCAATTAGTTTATTAAAAGAAGATTATTAGGGCTGAGAGAGAGAGGAATGTAGAAAGGAAAATTATCTATACAATTGGAATCACAGATTTCTTTTTTCCCAGAGTAAGAAAACAAGCTTGTCAATATTTTAGAAAAACAGTGGGTTCAAAAGACACTCTTTTTCTTAAAACTTCGACAAGCTTATTTCTTACTCTGGGGGAAAAAAACCCTGTGATTTTAATTATGTAAATAATTTTTAAAATTCCTCTAAAAACCAAAAGAGGTGTTCTTGAACTCTGTAATACTGCATTACCTTTTAAATAATGAATGAATTTGTGTGATTTCCTCCCAAATAAAGCTAATGATTTCATTGCAGTTAGGGCTAGATAAGAAATAAATATACCAATTACTCTTAATAATTAAATGTTAATATATTAAATAAAACCATGACATAATCTTCCAGCTTTATAAAATATATCAAACTTTGTATGTCAGTAACATACATTTTACAGACACTCCAAGCTCTATAGCTTTACTACTATATACCATATGAGCAGAAATGCCTGAAACATATAAATATTTCTAGGAGAAGCCAAACCCAAATTAATGCTTAGATTAATTCTTGCAATTTTCTTGGCAAGATTTTGGAAATGGTTTGCCATTGCCTTCTTAGAGCTGAGAAAGGAGAGTGACTGACCTAAAGCCATCTTCATGGCTTCATGCCTAAGGTGGAAATAGAACTCATGGTCTCCCAGATTTTATCCTGGTGCCTTAACCACTACATCTCTGTTATTATTACCATCACTATTGCATTTTATTTTCACCAAAGGAAAGTACAAAAAATATTGACAAGTTTGATTTAACAAGGATTTTAATTGATTAAACATTTTGTAGAACAAACAGATACGAAAATATGAAAAAAACCACCTTTATTTCAAAGTAATGTTCCTTTACATGAATAATACTTTTAAGAATACTGTATTGCTGTCGATTCACAAGAAAAAAAAGGTGAAAGCCAATTCATAAGCTTGGTAATATTCAAACGCCTAAACTTGATTGCCATACCATTGTCATTTTTTTTTAGTTGTGAGTATCTTCTAAAATAGTGACAACTCCCTGAGAGATCACAGCTTACCTTTTGTGAATCATTGAACTTATATAAGAGCATTAATAGTTGAGACAGGATGCTTGTATTTCTTTTGCTTTAAGGTTTCTCTTACCCCCCCCCCCCCCCCAAATTGAGGTGTTTGGTTTCAATACGTCTGCAGTAGTATAGGTAATGCAGTCCAAAGCTTTATTCAAAGCATCCCTCCTACCAAGAAAAAGATATTATAAAGTTAAGTGTGATTGTGAAACACAATAACTGGGGGGGTGGGGTGAGTCTCTCTGTTCTAACTCTGAATAGCTTAGTATTTTGGAACTAGATTATTTTAAGTTTAAAAGGGGGGAAAGGGGTACATATCAGAAGTCGAAAGAGGTCCAGTCATATAGGGAGAGTATTGACAGGTAATCTAATACTATAATTGTAGAAAATGAAAGCCTCAACTAAGCTGATTTAGCAAAGGATGTTAAGAAATACAAAAAGAGCATCTTGGTACTTGTTCAAAATAACTGGAAAAGAAACAGTACGCCAGCTAATGAATGAAGGTAATAGATGATGAGAAATAGCAAAGAAGATGTAGCAATACTGAACTTCTGTTCTGATATGGTGTTTTTTTTTAATATATGTACTACCAGCAAGTTATGAAGAGCAAGATTAAGGGACATGATTGAAGTTTGAGAGTGATAGAACCATGGTCAAATAATAGTTCTTTAACGTGAGAATTTAAATCTCTAGGACTAAGTTAATTACATTCCAAGGAACTGAGGGAACCAATTCTTGGTTGAGCTGAATCTTAGGAAGACTACCAGTTACTATCTAGACCAACCTATCCCACAGGACTGCCGTTTTGAGGATAGAAATTAGGAAAGCCGCACCATGTACTCCATCTTAATCTTGAAGAATCTGATGATAGCTACGATAAGAGGCTTTCAAAGGATATTTAAAATATTGAGTAGGGCACAATACGGTTAACCAGGAGATTTGTAAGAAGACATCAGGCACAAATGAAACTGCTCCTATGCTAAATTACACTACTGATCAACATGCCGAATCCATTCAAATTCCTTGGTTCATATCTATTCTACTTGGTGCCCCTGCAGCTTCAAATGTGCTTCAAGGGGTTGGGATGAGCCTCAAATGGATTTGAAAAGAACTCGGGACAAGTGTACATGTCTTGTTTTCTTGACTTTGGCTTTTTATACACTTTTTCTTTACACATATTCCATCTATAGCAGGGGTTCCCAACCTTTCTATACCCCCACACTCCTAGAGCAGCGTTTTTCAACCTTTTTTGTGCAAAGGCACACTTTTTTCATGAAAAAAATCACAAGGCACACCACCATTAGAAAATGTTAAAAAAAATTAACTCTGTGCCTATATTGACTATATATAAAGTAATTTTCCCACGGCACACCTTACACTATTTCACGGCACACTAGTGTGCCGCGGCACAGTGGTTGAAAAACACTGTCCTAGAGCACTTTTGACATATTTTCGCACCCCTTACAAAAGTAAATAATTATGTGCATATAATTATGCATATACACTATAATTTTGAAACTTCCAAACCCAAGTTTCTGCACTCCCTAGAATATTGTCTCACACCGCCGGTTGGAAACCCCTGATCTACAGGGTTTCCATATCTTGCAAACTGTGAGGAATATTCTGATTTTTCAGGCAAGAGTGTAGCTTCTCCCATTGTGGTTTTCTTCCTGTGGATTTAGTAATGTCATAATAAACTTACATTTAAAGATGCTTTTTAAAACTGCAATCTTCGTAAAGTGGCCTAGCTGATCCAGATTCTATTATGATGCACTTCAAAAAATATTGTGTCCTTAAATTTTCTTTTGAAAACATAATACACAAAAGAATAAGGCAAAGAAAGGCATGAACTGTGCATGAATTATACCTTGAGGGAGTCTTACTTTAGGTAATGTCATTTCTTTCCTCTGCGGTTCCTTAAAAGCATTTCCATATGTCAGGATTTTATAAAATTGCTTTTAGTGAAACAAGTTATTTTTATAATCCTTTTCAGGACATAAAGCCTAGGTGCTCCAGATGCCTTAGGGGATACTCTTCTAAAAACTCATTTTGAAAATCAAATGACTAAAATACCCGCTCTGTGACATATTTTAATTAGTTTCTGTTTTAAAAATGACCTGAAAGTGTCAGCAGCACAGAATAGCATCTCTTAACATCATGCTTGTGTGAACTTGTATTGTAAGAAGTGTTAGATGAATTTTTGACTATCTTTTATTTGTTGACCTACTTTATCTCTCATTTGGGTTTTCGTTTGGGTTTTTCTTTTTGGTGTTGAATGGTTTTTCGAGCTTGAATGTGGCATTTGTCCAAAGGCAAGCAAAGAATGTGGGGAAATGGTCTTTTCCCAAGAATGGAAGTTAAATTAATCTATAGTTTGTTTGTCTTAACTTGATAATGGAGGAAGCTCTGGAATGCTAATTAGATTTGAATTCCATTAGATGTGATTCAGAACATCATCACTCACAGATCCATTTATCTGAAAGCCCTAAAAGATGAGTAGTGACTCCAAGGATCTACTGATGTTTTATTAAGAAATTAAAATAGTGGCTATGCCACTATTTCTTGCTTCAAACAAGAAATCTTAAACTCTAATTTTTACCATTCCATAGAGATGGGATCTACCAATTAGTATGCTGTCCATATGAGCAAAATTTTGTTTCCATTTGGGCAGCTTCTCTACATGTATATTCCCCCATCAAATTAAAAATGGAGCTTCCTGTTCTTAAATCCTTCAAAACAAAGATGAACACTGGTATTACAGCTGAGTGTTCAGAAAAGTTTGATATTCAAAGACTTTGTGCATATACTGTATAAGTATTTCCTAGAGTAATCATTACTGAATGTGAAATGTACTGTACTGCAAGTCTCAATTCATAGATTATTGAGGGAAATTAAATTTTTTATATTAGTCTGAACGCTAATATAATTTGGAGGGGGGGGAACCCTGAAATCAAAGGCATAACTTTGGGGAAAACAATATTAAAATGGTGGTCTAAATTGTGTAGTGTTGAACTGCTGCCTGCTTTCTCTGGCACACATATTGTCTTCAGTACTGTTATGACTGTAAGAGATGAATGAAATTGGAGAATAAGCAAATAATGGTTAAGGAAAATTATCTCTAGTACACATTTGAATTTAATTGACCAAGTTCAATCTTAGTTGTCCTACTGGTAGTTCTCAACTTACAATCATTCATTGAATGACAGTTCAGAGTTACAACACTGAAAAAAGTGACTTATGACAGTTCAGCAATGGAAAATTTGGGCTCAACTATGATCATAAATCAAGGATTACCTGTATTAAACTTTTACTCTATATAGTTTTTCCTTGTCTACAGAATCCCTCACACACTGCTAGATTCACACACAACATTGCAGTAGTTGTTCACTTTGAAGCTGTCCTTCAAAATCTCTCCCCAAATTTCCTTTTCTTTGAAGTAAATTGAAGCTTAGGGTAGGATAGGCTACCAGATTTTCCTTATGTTGGGCTAGAATATTCCTTGGAATAGAGCTATAATCTGGCTGCAATGTGTATACTTGTAATGTCCTATCAGTGTACAGGAAACAGGATCGTCTGCTCGGTCTCGTAAACATTTTGATAAGTGATTAATGATGAATTTAACTAAGCATAGGTAAGAGCTCATGTTCAATCCTGTACCTTAATGATAAAGGGTGGTGAAGCATTCTCACCCTTATTCCATCATCAGACTGTTGTCCAGTTGCTAATATCCTGTTGCAGAGGGAATAAGGAGCATTTGCTGTCTGCCTGTTTAAGGATGTTGTACAATTCTTTCCCAATAAAGTTGCTCAGATTCACCAGAGTCTTGATTCCACATCAGTGAGGTTTGAAATGGTGACTGCTCAACATCTTATATTACTTGGAATTCATTCTAGCTTATAGACTTGATGAAACAAATAAAAGACTTGGGGCATGAGCTCGGCTATCTATAGATCCATGCCCTTCCTGGCTTTTTCAGATAGCCAGAGCAGAAGAGAATAGTTGTGAACAGGAGATTCATAACTGTTCTTCGGTGGATGAAGTTATCCCAGTTGCCTGTAATAAGACATTAATGTGCCCCTTCTGAAGGGGGCTCCCCTGGACCCCAAAATCTGGGCGATTATTGTCTAGTCCCCAATATTTCTATTCCAATTAAGGTGGTTGAAAAAGAAGTTATGTCTCCAATTGTAGAATCCTTGAGGAGGAGAAGCTTGTTGGTATCCATTTTAATTAAGTATATGCCAGGCTAGATATTGAACTGAAATAACAGTAATCACTCTAGTAGAAAAGATTTGTCACAACCTGGGTGACAGGAATGCATTTGATCCTTTCAGTGACCTTTGGTGTCATTGACAAGGCTGAGTAGTTTGAGGGTTGGTGCCACTATTTCACAATGATTTTCCTCCTTCTAAGTGAGTAATTACAATCAGTGGTAGTGGAGGAGAAAAGTTGGTTCTGTGGATTTTTGATTCTCTCACTCCTGTTGCTTAGCATCTCTGTGAGGCTGCTGGATAAATTTTACATCAGTCTGTGTTGAGGTGCTATCTCTATTATATCACTGAGCCAGAGATGCTGTTGAGGTCTTTGTTAGTGGCTGGAGGCTAAATGGGATGAAAGAAGTTGAGGCTTTATTCAAACAAGAAGGGCTTACTGTTTGTTCAGAGATCATCTGTTTTTTTTAATCTATTTTGTTGATTACTCTAGGTAGGGTACCACTTGCCCTACAAGGGGAGGTCTATCACTTGGTTTTTCTCACAGCTTTCTCATAGTTTTGTGACAACTGCTTGATGGACAGATGGTGAAGGTATGCAAGATGGCTTTTAGTCAGACAGATAGACAGACAGACACACGTACTTGTGTGTGTGTATACATACATATACATACATACATACATACATACATACATGCATACATACATATATAGAGGGCGGGAGGGAGAGGGAGAGAGAAAATTGCAATATACTATACTTAGCTGTAATCTCTGCACTGTATTTTGCATTCTGATAGCGAGAGCTGTTACTGCTAAGTTACACCAATATTTCAGGCTTTGTTCTAGTTGCCAGTAAGCCTCTGAGTTACTGACAATAGAGTGTTGGGTTCAATATTCAGAATGTTGGGTTAACCCTTAAAATTCTAAATGTGTTGGCTCACATTTAGAGGTACTGCCAAGACCATCTTCTTCTTGGTAAAATTGACCCATGACGTATACTCATTCCATGTCACAATATTGTGGGTCCCCCACTCCACATGAAATAAATTCACCAGTGGCCTAGGGATAAGGTTGTTTGATGATGCCCTTCCCCAATGAAATAGCCTGTTCTCCCAAAACATGACATCAGTGACAATCCTGACTTCATTCCAGAATGGGGTCAGATTATTCTGAGTGATTAAAAGTTCGCACTGTTTTTTTAATCTTTGTTATGTCCTTTTTATTCTTATAAACACTGTTAAAATTCTAATTACGTAGAAATGTGAGAAATAAATATGTTGAATACTTTCTTTTCCATTTTCATAGGTATAGCCTCAGAACACATGAGGAGTGCTTTCTGTGAAGAATTTGGGCAACGTTAGTTCTGGAATCTTTATGAAGCATTTAACTTTAAAGCATGGCAGAAAATAAAGAAAGGAAACCTAAAAATGCAGATGTGAGACCCAAAACCAGCCGGAGTAGAAGTGCAGACAGAAAGGACGGATACGTATGGAGTGGAAAGAAGCTTTCCTGGACAAAAAAGAGTGAGAACAGTTCTAATGCCGAAATGGCAAACGCCTCAGGAATACCTACATTAAGCCTAAGGAACCAGGAGAGAAAACAGAGCTGTTCTTCAGCTGAGATGGAGTTGGAACATGTATGTGGTCACAGGTTCCTAAGCCGTTCTTTTAAACAGAAATTGCAGGATGCGATGGGACAATGTTTTCCCATAAAGAGTTGCAACACTCGGCATTCTTCAGGGCTGTCACCAAAGAGGAAAATACATATCAGTGAGCTTATGCTGGACAAATGCCCTTTCCCACCACGATCTGAGCTAGCATTCCGATGGCACTTAATCAAGCAGCACACTGCCCCTGTAAGACAAAAATCTGAAAGCTGGCTAAGTGTGGGTTCATCCAAAGGTGAAAGGAAAGATGAAGACCTGAGAGAGATTGACGGGACAGATGAGCCAGACTCCAATGTATTGCAGGAAAGTAACGTTATTGACTCCTATCCGTGTGATCCTCAAGAGGAATCTGCCATGGGTGGCAAGCAGCTAAAGAGCAGCAGAGAGGAAAGTGACATGGACTCTGATGATGAAGTAGTGACACTCTGCACCAGCTCCAGGAAGAGAAACAAACCACGGTGGGAAATAGAGGATGACCTTCTGCAGCTGCAGATGCCACTCAGATATCACACCCAGATTGATTATGTTCATTGTCTGGTTCCTGACCTCCTTCAGATCAATAATAACCCATGTTACTGGGGAGTGATGGATAAATACGCTGCAGAAGCACTTTTAGATGGAAAGCCAGAAGGGACGTTTTTATTACGTGATTCTGCCCAGGAGGATTACTTATTTTCCGTTAGTTTCAGGCGTTATAGTCGTTCTCTTCATGCCAGGATCGAACAGTGGAATCACAACTTCAGCTTTGACGCTCATGATCCATGCGTCTTCCATTCTCGTGACATTACTGGGCTTTTAGAACATTATAAAGATCCAAGCTCTTGTATGTTCTTTGAGCCACTTCTCTCGACTCCCTTACACAGAACTTTCCCTTTTTCCCTTCAACATCTATGCAGGACAGTTATTTGTAATTCTACAACGTACGATGGCATAAATGCACTTCCTGTTCCTCCATCTGTAAAGCTGTATTTGAAAGAATATCATTATAAATCAAAAGTAAGAGTCCTCAGGATTGATGTACCAGATCAACATGCCTAGAAAGACATTCTGGAAATTATTTATAATTATTCTGGGAGATGTTGTTTTTATTTCTCTTTCTTATTAATAAAATTTTCATGCAAAAATATCTACAGATCATACTTAACTTTGCCTGAGCCTTATGTCCAAATAGATTTTTACTTCTTGCCCCAATGAACAGGTTTCTGTAAAAAAACACAAAATTGGTACTAATATTCTATAAAGTTTTGTGAAATTTCAAGGAAGCTATTTTTAAGTTTTCATTCAAGCTTAACTTTTTAGATACGAAGCTAAGTCAAGATTAAGTTTGACTTACCTTTTATAAACTAATTTATATGCACTACAGGCATGCTTGAAAAACTGAATATAGTAGTTCTTCCAGAATTGCCAATTTGTATGTTTTTTTAAAATTATCCTGTCCTTGCTATAAAAAATAAAATTAATAAGATTGTGATGCTCCTACCATTCTGGGTACTGGTGGTTTTAAATTTCATATAGGTTGCTTAAATTTTGAGATTAAATGTCACAACCATATGCTGTTTGTCAGAACATGATTTGGAGTTTTTATCATTTTTAATAAATGTTGACTATATATGTCTAATTTTCTGGGCATCTTACTAAGAACCCTAAAACTATTGTGAAGTTTCTTAAAAGATTTTGATATGAAGTTAGTACATGTTTTAAAAAGAACTATGTGTTGAAGCAAAAGTAGATGCTGGTACCACAAACTAATAGTCATAAATGTTAAATGAAATGCATGAAAATAGGTGTTTATCTAACTACGTCAGATCATACTCCCCTGTCCTACACTCTTATGTCGGGGGGGCTTTGGATCATTTTCTCAGTCTTCTGACTGTCCTTTGGTGCTATTTGTTTATTTGTTTTGCGATTTAACTATTACATAGGCAATTTCTAAGGGCAACTATGGCTAGGAAAGCAATAGTAGCAATAGTTAGACTTATATACAGCTTCATAGGGCTTTCAGCCCTCTCTAAGCGGTTTACAGAGTCAGCATATTGCCTCCAACAACAATCCGGGTCCTCATTTTACCCATCTCGGAAGGATGGAAGGCTGAGTCAACCTTGAGCCTNCCAACAACAATCCGGGTCCTCATTTTACCCATCTCGGAAGGATGGAAGGCTGAGTCAACCTTGAGCCTAGTGGGATTTGAACAGCCGAACTGCTGAACTGCAGTCAGCTGAAGTAGCCTGCAGTGCTGCATTTAACCACTGCGCCACCTCGGCTCCTAATTAACTATTAACTATCCATGTTCCTCTTCACTTAAAACGTATTCTCTTGGAATATCCAATTCTCTACGTGGCATTTAAAGTGAAGAAAAAAGATTTCACAGAGGCCAGTAGAAGTATAGAGAATCAATAGAATCAATGAGAATAGAGCTGGAAGGGACCTTGGAGGTCTTCTCGTCCAACCCTCTGCTCAAGCACGACACCCTATACCCATGATGGCGAACCTATGGCACGCATGCCAGAGGTGGCACGCAGAGCCTTCTATGTGGGTACATGCACCATCGCCAGCTACTCTTCTGATTTTTGGCAGCTGGTCTTCGCGGGCACCAGAGCTCTAGAAAACTGCCCCCCAAAAATGGCAATGACCTTTTTTCGGGCTGTTTTTGAGGCTGTTGCGGGACATTCGTGGCCTGAAAATGGTCTGAAAACAGCCCAAAAATGGCCCTAAAAACGGCCACAAAACAGGCATGTGCATGCCGGCCAGCTGGTCTTCGAGTTTCAGGTGTTCTGGTGTGCATGCACACATGTTACAGTTTGGCACTCTGTGCCGAAAAGGTTCTCCATCACTGCCTTATTCCATTTCAAATAATGGCTCTCCAGTCTTTTCTTAAAAACCGCCTTCTGTACTTACATACTCAGTGTAATTATATATAAGAATACATACATATACTGAGAATCTCCACAGACATATAGATGCAGATGGAGATGTGGAGGAGAGGATGGTGCAGTATAATGGCAGTTATAATTACAACAATGGTAGGAAAAGGAAAAAGATTTGTAGTTCATTATCAAGCGAGATACTGTGAGACTAGAAAGATTTTCCCAAGGTAATGTACTTTGGGACGGGAAGATAAATGAAACTCTTTTTTAAAAGAACAACGCTTCCATGGCATATGGATGTTGTTTGGAGTGAATCTCATGAGTGTGCTTACATTGTTACTGCTTCTGAAACTGCTTCCCAAATTTCTGAAACAAGAAATGGCAAAATTAGTCTTCTAAATCTGTCTCATGTCCACAAAATCATACATTCATGCCTAGAACTCCAAAGCCAAGAGTTAACTCTTGGTAGGCTTGAAAAAAGGGAAGGGAGAAAAGATCCAGGGATATCCTGCTAAAGATGAGATGGATAAAAACCTGCCCTTGGAATCTGGGCATCTTCAAAACCAGTTCATGCATTCATGAGCTTTTTGTTGTTGTTTTAAATGATGTTTGGAATATATACAATAATCCAGGAAGCTGAGCCTGGATCAATGGATGGAGTGCCATAAAAATATTGTTCACACCTAGCAACCTCATATATATTCTCTACAACAATCTCTCCCAAGCCTGGTCTTTCAGGTCTTCCGACAGAGCATCTGTTGCCACTGTAACTGAATTCATCCACCTTCCTTTTTTGCAGTTGTGGTTTGGGGTCCAAAGTACGTCACAGTTCCCCAAACCCCTTTCAATATAGTGTTTCAAGAATGAACATTGACTGCAGGTGAAAGAATTCCCTTTGTTTGTTTGTTAAACTTGGCATACCCATATGTAAATTGCTACCTACTGAATACAGATTTGTTTCCATGTGTCTGGGCCACCGTGTTTTTAATGCCTTTCAGCACTCTGCTTGTTTCCTTACCTTATCCCTAAATAAAGCAGTTCCCTTATGCATACTCAGGCACACAACCTATCTACTTTTCAAATTGTTGCCATTCCTTTCTTACCATGCCACTCCAGTGTTTACCAAGCACATACTTTGGTTACTCCTGTCATGCAGGCGAGTGTTGTTATTGCAGATGATCACAATCACCAAGAATAGAGAGAAGAGTGTCCTTAAGATAAAGGTTAGAACAATGTTACCCTCCCCTTTCATACATCAATCTCTTGGGGAGGGGGGAGGCACAAATTGAACTAGATATACAATTTATCTGCATCCTCAAGGATAGCACTGTGTCACCCTAGGATTAAAAGTAACTGGGTTTTTCCACAATTTTAAAACTCAAGGTTACAAATATCTGATTCTATTTTAGCAATAATATTTCATTTCATTTAGAAACTGAAATTATTCTTGATTTCTTAATCAGATTCTATTTCTTTTTTGTTTGGTCCCCATATTGCTATTAGATCTTATGCTTCCTTATTTATTTCAGACACTGTTACAAAGCATTTCTTTGGAAGAATTTGCAAAGCCCTGTAAATGGCACCAATCCTTGAAAATGTCATTAATATCACTTTTCTGTTTAGGTACATATGAGTTATTAACAAAATAAAAGGGATTTTATATTTAAAAACTACCATGATTTATCATGTGTTATAAAGCAGCTACAGAAAAATAAAAATATAATGTAAACATTTTTGAAATATATATTTACTGAGATCTGCTACTCAGATCTGGGTTTTTTTTGCCTTGAATGATGTATCAATTGAGGCAATATGTATAGCTACATAGACTATGAAATGCATGCAATATATTCATGGTGAAGACATAATCTGAAGGTCAAAAGGTTTGCATGGAAGACATTGATGTGGACAGGTAATAAGACGTATCCTTAGGAAAAATTACTAGACTTTCAACCAGGAGCCAAAGGTGGGACTTCTGATGAACATGACTGGAAGGAGGAAAACCAGCACAATAAATACAATTCAGGCCATCTCGACCCGTAGAGGTTGTCCATAAGGATATTATGGTTGATGGTATCAAAAGCAACTGATAAATCAAGTGGAGCAAGGATGGATGTACTACCCCAATTGTGTTCTTGCTATATATCATATAACAGGCAACCAATGCCGTTTCCATCATGTATCCAGGACTGAAACATAATAGAAAGGGGGTTCTGATAATCTGCTTCATCCAGGACCTGCTGAAGCTGTTGCATACCACTTTTTAAATGAAAATTATCCAGTATGGTTGAGTCTAACAGTGCTCTCGAGGAAGGTGTGTGTGTGAATCAACACCTCTAGACGAAACAGAAAAATGATCCATAAGGAACAGTTAATCATTGCTATAATCCAGCCACATATCACCTAAGAGGCCTTTGGCAGCCAGGAAGGACATGAATCTAGTAAGCAGGTGGTTGAGCTTATAGTCATAAGGGCTCTGCTTCCTAAAGCCCAACAGGTTCAGACTCATATGCGCCGCCCAGAGTGGCTCTATGAGGAAGATGGGTGGTTTCTAAATATGATATCTAAAAATAAATACATTAATATGTCTAGGTCCTGGGCTGCAATTATAATTATAAAGATGATGTTGGGGAGAGGGATCAGGAATCATTTGTAATTTCAGTGTAAATAGCAGCAAATTAAAAACAATGAATGTATAAGCAAGGTATGGAATTCATTTCTGTGGAATATAATAATGGACACCAGGTTGGATAGCTTTAAGAAGATATTAGATAGATTCAAGTATAATGCAGCTGGAATGCAATGATTAGACAGCAGCATCGCTTGGTTCATCAGGATGAGTATAAGATCAAAAGCAGCAACCCACCCCTGGTTCAGACATTGTACTGATCCATATTTTGCTTTCTTGTGCCTTACTGAATACATCTCGAATGGCTGGATTTTTTCCACACATTAAATTGTATATCATATTTCCCAAAATTGCAGTGGCTGGGTTCATAACAATGGTCTAAACAAAAGCCAAATATATTACATTCTGGCTTAGCGCTATTTGTGAACATAATAAGTATAATTTTACATGGTGCAGTTGCTTTAAAGTGGCATACCTCTTTAAAAACATTTCCCTACTTTCCATTGAGGGAAAAAAAATCATTCTTGCAGGATGCACTCATAGCA